GTGAGTACAGGGAGACAAGGATCTCTGGGGGCTGTTTGGAAGGCTGGCCACCCGTGGAGCCTAGTCTCAGCATCATTGCAGGAAATGGGTATGGTTTTAGCTGACAGTGGAAGCGTGGTGGTTGGACCTGCTAACTGCAGTTCTGACAATAACTGTGAGCTCAGGCCTGTGGCGTAGATGCATGCCACTTGCCCAAATACATGCTACCTGCTTGTTTTCAGTCTAGCTGATGTGACCGGCTAAGGTTTAGGTCAAGATTCACCTTGCTCCTTTGGCCCAAGAATACATCTGGACAACTAACAACCTTTGATGTTCTACTGCTTGGCCACCAGTATCAGTAACTCAGTTTCACTCTCTGTTTTCAGATGAAGAAGTTGTTTGGCTATCTTCTGCTAGTAGTTTATGTCAGGGTTCAACAGCTTTCACGATTAGAACGTTTTTACACTTCTGCTATTGTTTAAGTTATTTTTCATGTGATGGTAGCAGTGACGAAAAGCAAGTGACAGCTTCTGTGCTACGGAAGCCTCCATACACACTCAGTGCCAGTGGGGACTTGTCTTCCTCCAGTGAAACCATTCCAGTTCCCTTTATGTTTTTCTCATCGTGACAGGGATGGGGATTGTCTATACGTGCGTAAACACTTTAAATTAAGGAACAGTTTAAACTTAACTGTGAATAGAAAAGTGAGTGGTCTAAAGAACTCCCACGGACCCAGCGCCCAGCTTTACCACTTAAACGACGCAGGGCCAGTCTGACCTAATGTGGTCCCTGCCCGCTTCCCATCTTCCCGCCTGCCTTCCACACACTGGCTGGGTTTGAAGCACATTGCAGAGATCTTCTCTATCCCCCCGGGGAAATGAATGTTTGGTCTGTGAAAGGAAAATCAGTATTCAAACTCTCTGCCTTTGTAATTCCTCTTTGGTCTCTCAGCTTTCGACTGCGGGTAAAGGGAAAGATCGTTTAAGGAAAAGAGGAGGGCACGCTCCTTTCTGTGGGGCCTGGAGCACCGCTCTCTGACCTCCCTGGCACAAACGTGGCGCAGATTCTCTAGAACCGTTCCTCCGGACTGTGAGTGTGAGGGGAGAAGCCTGCAGTCACTGCTCTCTGGGGAGTCCCTGGAGGGACCTCTGTCCTTTACCACCTGAAAGGCTTTCCCAGGGGCCAAAAGCCTGCACCCCAGTCCACTCACATATGCCAACACCCACACTTAACCTTAAACTAATTTTGGAATAAAAAGAATTACTAAAGGCAAGATCTTCATGGGGATTTAGCCCAAGGTTGTTATTTTCCTTTTGCAGAGACAGAGGTGCAGTCAGTCACACACCTAATGGTTGGTTTAGTGTCTCGTAATATTCTGTAATGTATTTTTCAGTAGCGTTTTGTGCATTTGTCTTGATAAGCTCTTACAGACTGTCCAGAACTGGGCAAATGCTTGCTGCTGAATAGTGTGTGTGAGCAAGGGGCTCTGTAAACGGGAAAGTGCCCGGGAAAGTCGGTATTATAGCCACATCAGCACTTGGGTGCTTTAAGTGCTTTTTGTCAATTCTATAATTTTTAAAACACTCATTTGTTGTTATAAAAGTAAAATATAGCCATTGCTAAAGATTTAAAATTACCAGTAACAAAAAGCAGCACAAAACAAAAAAATTACCCTTATAAAAACACTAGATAACATTTTGCCTATTTCCTTTATCTTATGAATATATATAAACACATGGTCATTTTCACTCTAGAATTTTATTTGCTAGGTTTTAAAATTTAATTTCATACCTTAAAAAGACATTGCTTAATATGAAGGTAGTTTACAATTTTAAGTGCTGTATAATTACAGTTGATATTTTAATTAAAAATGCAATAGAATAGCAGCATTAAATAATTTTTAAATGAGCCCTAATTTTATTAAATGATTATCCAAATTATTTGTATTTCTCTTCTTTTCTATATGTACACAAATTTTTCAATTACAGCATATATACAATTTTAATTTTGCTATTTTCACTCATTTGCTGAAAATTTTTTTGCATTTCTGTAGTCTTTAGAATTGTAGTTTCACATGGCTGCATGACTTTCTTTTTTTTGTCAGACATACGTGGGTTTGAACCTCACTTGGCTATATAATCTAGTCATGTGACTCTGGGAAAGTTTTTCTGAATAGCTTCATGGAGTCATGATTGACATGCAGTGAACGGTGCAGATTTAGGGTCCACGCTGTGGCCATTCTGGCACGTGTAGCGTGCCCGGTGAGGCCGCCACCGTCAGCCAGCGAAAATCCCCATCACCCCAGAGATTTTTCCTGCCCCTTTGTAATCCCTCCCTCCCACCCCACGTAATTATTTTAGATTCATCCACGGCATTGCTAATGCAATGACAGAGCATTTGAACCAGGTGACATAAAAAGACAAAAACTGGAAACTTTCGAATGAGGCAACTTGGCCTTCCTTGTGGCGTGGCCTCGCAGGCAGACTCTTCTGGGAGTTGAGGGCAGGCTCAGGGGCCCTCGGTGTCCCCAGCCTGAGGAGGGATGTCCACTTGGCACAATGGCCTGTTTTTTGCATGTGTCCTTTCTTTCTTCCAGGCTCTGTGGTCAAAGCCCCACATTCAAGCAGCTCCACTCTCAGCTCCCACCTGTGGATTTCTGCTCGCTTTTCTTCTCTAAAACAATGCTTACTTTCAAACTCCCCCAAATCTGATATTTCCGTTTCTCTCATACTTTGCACACTATCTTAGGTGTTACGTTGTACCTTTTAGCCCTAAGGGTTATATGTCATGCCAAAAGTTAAAAAGTAAACCCCTCACAATAGACCAAGTAAGGTGCTACTGGAGGGCCCTTCTATGCTCTAAACAAGCATGTCTCCCTTGCCTACCCAGGGTTTCGTCACCTGTAAATTTGTGTCCATAGCCTTGACAGAGGCTTGGAGAGTCTTTTGACATTATCTTTGTTTCTGAGGGGCTCCTGAAGAGCAGAGGCTGGGGCTGGCTCGCATTACAAATAAGCCCCCGGAGAAGGGTCACTCAGTTTCAAGTGTGTTCTGGGGATTAGAGGCTTCCAGATGCACCCCCACAGCCTGACACTAGAGGGAAGCATGTACAAAGGAAATAGCTAGCTCTATTTTTAAAGCTGTGCAGTAACCAGGAGAAAATTATTCGGTACCTTGCTTTTAAACTCCAAGAACAAAGGATGTAGAATCCATATTCTCATATCTTGGGTGAGATTATCACATTACAATGTTTTTATTGTTGTGCAATTGACTTATATTATTTTTAGGGCTACCATATAGTGATTTGATGTGAAGATACATTATGAAGTGATCACCATTAGTCTTAATTATCTTCTGTCACCATCCAAAGCTATTGCAGCATTGATGACGTATTCTCTACGCTCTTCATTACCTCTCTGTGACATATTTATTGTAGAACTGGAAGTTTGTATCTCTTAATTCCCTTCACATCTTTCACACACACACATACCCCATCCCTTTGGCAACAACTGAGTTTGTTCTCTGTGTCATGAATCTGTTTCTGGATTGCTTTGTTTGTTTGTTTTGGTTTTTAGATTCCACCTATCAGTGAAATCATATTGTATTTGTTTTTCTCTGTTTGACTTACTACACTTAGCAGAATGCTCTCCACGTCTACCCATATTGTCATAAATGGCAAGGCTTAATTATTTTTTATGGCTGAGTAATACTCCATTTTAAATATATATATATATATATATATATATATATATATATATATATTGCATCTTCTTTATCTGTTCATCAATTGATGGACACTTAGGTTGTTTTCATACCTTGACTATTGTAAATAATACTGCAATGAACATAAGTTACATATGTCTACAGCATCACAATTTTAAAGATTTTATTTGTTTGTTTGTTTTAGAGAGAGGGGAAGGAGGGAGAGAGGGAGAGAAACACTGATGCATTGCCTCTCACATGTGCTTTGATTGGGACCAAACCCACAACCTCGGCATGTGCCCTCACCAGGAATTGAACCTATGACCTTTTGCTTTGCAGGATGATGCCCAACCCACTGACCACACCAGTCAGGGCTACAGAGTCACAATTTTAAATATCTATTCTATTAAGAGTTTTGCCAGCCAACTGAATTCTCCAAGTAAATTAATTTATGGTTGAGTATGATTTAAATATAGCACTGCTGAGACCCACATACTCTGTAAAACCCATTTTAGTGCTTAAGCAGCTTACCCTGATAATACTTAGTTCCAAATTCAAATGTTATAGTTTTTAAAATGACTGTTTTCTCCCCCCGTCTCTCTCTCTCCCCCATTTGATGAAACAAATTTTTTGTTTAGAATAAAAGCAATCAGATAATTCTTTAGAGAGTTAGATCAGAAAAGACTTAACTCTTTGGAGATCTTAGTTCCCCTCTCCAAGGCTTGCTCATCACTCAATCCATCAACAAAGGCTTCTGAGCACGTCCATCATATTGCAGATCCCGTGTTAAGTTGTGGAATGCACAGGCGAAGCAGACATCAGCTCTGCCATCCAGGCACTCATTCAAAGCCTGGAGAGTGAGGAGTGTATGAGCAGGGAAGAAAAAGGTGATTGCAGGAATATGTGATAAATGCAATGATAAAAAAAGACAAGGAGGTGCTCCAGGAGGTAAGAGAGAACAGGGGTGGAGGTTGGGGAGCTGGGAGAAGTGCAGGAAAACTTCCAAGAGGACACATTTAAACTGAGCCTTAAGGAGTAAACACAATTAGCATTTCAGGTAGTGGGCCCAGAAGGAAGGCAGAAGAATGAGAGAACAGTGCATAGGCAGGGTCAGACCTTTGAATGCTTAAGAGTGGGGGCGCTGGTTTGTGTTTTATACAGACTACCCTGACAGTGGAATGCAGATCAGAAAACAGAGAGCTGTAATAGGGACCAGAATTTATGGAATCCTGAAGGTGGTGAGGATGGAGAGAAGTGGATGAATCCAACTGATATTTAAAAATAGTGCCAGATGCTGGGTGATGGGAGGCACTGGACGACATGGGTTTTGCTTTGGTCCTAATTGACTTTGAGAAACTTGCGGGACACTCAGGTAGCCATGGGGTCCAGCAGACGGATAGGTAGGTGGTATTGGAGGTTAGCAGAGAGATGTGGGCCAAAATATATGGTTTGGGGAGTGACTGAAATTTTAGAAGTAGCTGTAATCTCTGGGGGGAACAAAGGTTAAGGGTTGGAGAGGAGCAAGTGCATTCAGAACTGAGGAGACCCAGAAGAGTGTGGTCACGAAGCCACAGGGGTGTTCTTGGGTAGGAAGACCCAACATAAAAAGGATGTACATTTTACACAACCCAATATATTTTACACAACCCAATAAAAATAGCAAGGAGATTTGCTCCAAGGGCAAGTTTCTTCTGTCGTGTTTACCCAGGGCCTGACATCGTGTAAGTACCTGGTAAATGCTTCTTGACTCTGTAGGTACAGTCACACTCTTCAATGTGGAACAGTGGAACAGTGTGCAGTTTTAATGAAGAATGGGGTAGATCTGTGTGTGCTTATGCAGCAAGATTCTAGGATTTAGATGATAAGGCCTGTTCAGAAGAAGTCCAGCCATTGTTAATATAACAAGAATAGTTTATGTGATATGGATGTAACCTAGCAGCCAAGGAGTGGACTGGAATGCGCATGCATGAACAACGATGACTTCACTGTACTAGTCAGTGGGGGGTGTAGACGCCATTGAGTGAGCATGTGTGCTGTGTGGCCGTCACATTCAAAATGAGGGAGTAGAGCAATGAAACTGATCAAATTTTGCATTAGGCTTAAACATTCCTCCCTGTTTTGTGTCACTTGATGTGACACATCAAGTCACCCAGGTAACTCAGCCCCCCTACAGCCCAGATTTTGTGCCCTGATACTTCTGGCTTTTCCAAAACTAAAATCACCTTTGAAAGGGAAGAGATTTCAGACCATCATTGAGACTCAGGAAATATAACAGGGTAGCTGATGGTGATTGGGAAAAATGTGTGAGGTCCCAGAGTGCCTACTTTGAAGGGAACTGAGGCATCACTGTCCTGTGTACAATGTTTCTTACATCTTGTATCTTCTTCCATAAATGTCTTTATTGTTAGTAGGTGGCTGGATACTTTCTGGACAGACCCCTGTGGCATGTGTATATTTTTTGTAAGGATAACAGCTGACTATGCATTGCACTTACCGTGTTCATGTGTTAACTTATTTAATCCATTTCTGGGGGGGGGGGTACTACTGTTATCTCACATGTACAGACTGGGAAGGCACCGAATGGTGAACGGCTGCCCCAGGATCACACAACTCATCGGTGGCAGAGGTGAGAACTGAAGCCAGGCAGTCGGTGCCGTTCACGGGAAAGGCTTAGCCAGGGGACCCTGGGGTGGGGCATGGCAGAGAGAGAATGGGCTTTTATTTCACACTTTGAGTATTCCACATATAATTATTGGCTTGCCATATGCATTATCACTTTAATAATTTTAAAAAACTAACTCAAAAATATTCAGTGGCGTGTTCAGGGGGTAAGTAGGGGAACGGGCTCGTCTAGGCACTGTCCCAACAGGCTTGCTGACAGGCAATGAAAAGGAGATGCTGGGTTGTTTTTCATATAATTATATTTTTGTTCTGAGAAGACAGGCACAGTGGTCAGTTTCTGGCTTTCATTTTTTTAGTGATGTTTTTTCTTTGTTGAGTTTTCCTCCCTTAAAAATCCCCCCCACGGACCCCTGCCTGCAGAGCTGCTCTGGGCCTCGTCAGCTGCCTTGGGCTTCATTCTATTTCAATTTTTTAACTAGGAAATACATTCCTATAACTGAAAAAGTTAAATCCACTGAGAAGGGGTCAATGAGGACTCTTACTCCCAACTGCGCTGTTGCACCCTCCTCCGCCCTCCCCGCTTAGGGCCGCCCGTACTACTTTCTTGGGATCCTTTCACCGACTCGTTTTTCCAATGCCAAGTACGTAGGCATATATATTCTTTTATTTCCTTCTTACACAGCCAGGATTCTGTTTGTACCTTTCTCAATTGGCACATGGAGAGCTTCCTCATTCTTTTTCGTAGCTACACAGCTCCCCATCGGGCTGGCTGAACTCAGTCTGCTCTTGAGTTTATTCCCTCGGCCTCGCTGTTGGCTTTGCTGAGCAGTCTGCAGGCTTTCAACTGGCGTTTTTTTTCTTGACTCCTCTATTTTTAGAGTATTTTCCCCCTTGTCAACTTCCTAGCCACTGACCGTGATGAGGGATCACGGAAGGCTTCCTTCCACCCTCCTCCTCCACCTAAGGCGCAGAGTGGGCACCAGCCCTCCCCCTCCGCCTAAGGCGCACAGCGGGCACCAGCCCTCCCCTGTTGGCCCTCGGGGCCGCAGCTCACACCTGTTCCTTCTGGTGATTAAACACCGGCACGCAGGCACTTCCCTTCAAATCTCTCGTCGTGGGTATTTTTATGTTCTCGGAAACAGGCATGTCTAAGTGGAACCCTCGGTATAAATGCGTATGATTTCACTGTAAACACCCGTTGACAGAGCTGTGGCCTGGCCGGAGAGGTACAGTTAGGTATTTTCTTCCTCTTTGTCGTTCGTTTGTAACCTGTGTTTTAACATGACTGTGTGTGTTGTCTGATTGCTAACTTGTGACCACGCAATATTCTGTTTTAATGAAAGTGCCGGTGTTTCCCCACCTGCTTATTTTGAACAAGTCCCCGAGTTTGGCGGCCTGCCCCTGGAGCCGTCAGTTCTGCTGCCAACACGCCCACGCAGCTGGGGATGGCCATGGACACCATGGTTAGAACCTTCCACCGGTACTTCCGCAAGGGAGGGGGCAGACTGGGAGCTCAGCGAGGGGGGACTGAGGATGCCCCTGCAGAGAGAGCTCACACACTTCCTCTCGGTGAGCCCCAGCTCTTCTGCCCTGTTCAGTCCAGGGTGGATGAAGAGCACACCCAGAGAGAGCCTCTGTGTGCGGAGTCTCCCGTGAGTCTGCGTTGAGGCTCAAAATCCAGGAGACTCAGACGTGAGGAACCTTTGTTGGCTGTGACATCCATCGTGTGTGCCCTCTCTGCATTGCCTGTGGCCAGGCTTTCCAAGCATCGTAACGTATACTTGAGGCTTTCATCAATTCTTCAGCTTCCTGGTGCAGCAGAGGTATAGCTAGTGAAAGCTATCTAACCACTAACGATAACTGTAGTTACAGCTAGTTTCACTAGTTTTACCTGGAGCTTTGTCCAGCTGTCTATAAATCGATATTGTTTATTGGGTCAGAAAAGAAGCCTGGGCTACTTTGTGCTGTGGTGGTAAATTTTTCTGTTGAATGACAAACACTGAGAGAGTTATGTCAGCCAAGCGCAAGCTGATAGGGATTGATGGAAAGGGTGTGTCTGGCCAGTGGCCAGTTGGGTAGCAACAGTGGAACACCCCAGTATAGCCAAGAGTTTAACAAGTCTACACATGAACCTTACATGCAGGGTTTGGGGCCTCCTCTGAGAGAAGCTCTTCATTCCAATTTTTATGGAGCTGCCTCAAATTGACTTCAGCACAACACCCTACCCTTGCACAACCATATTCTGGGCAAGCCCCGTATGAAGACTACACTGATGGTAATTACAACACTCTTCTTCCCACCTTCTGTGGAAAAACTTTAAGTAAACATTTTTTTAATAGTAATATTTTAGGCACTTGTTTTTATAATCCAAAACCAATTTTGTTTTATTTTTAGGACATCGATAGAACAAATGGTAATTTAAATATTTTTCTATAATTTTTTATTGAGGTATAATTAACATATAACATTATATTAATTTTAGGTGTACAACATAATGATTCAATATTTGTACAGTGAAATCACCACCACAATAACTTTAGTTATCATCTGTCACCATACATAAAGATTTTTCTTCCTTGTTGTGAGAACTTTTAAGATCTACTCTCTTACCAACTCTCAAATACACAGTTATTAACTGTAGTCACACGCTGCTTGCTAATGTGGTAATTCTTCACGATACCTTTTTAGCGATTTTAGGAGTAGCCAGGAACGGTAATTTTTTTTTCCAAATTCAGTACAGCTACCGTATTATATAACATTTAGAATAAAAAGCTCAGTTTGTCAAACTTGGCACACTGATTTATTCAAGTGGAATTTATAATTGTTTTTGATCAGTTGATCTCAACCAATTCAACTTTCCAACCATTTAATAGTTGGTATGTAATGAAAGGGCAATGGGGAATTCCGGGAGAAATGAACCACTTCTGGAATCAATTCTGATCAACACTAATCACAGGAAGGGTGGGCGCCTCACTGTCCCTCTGTCTCTGAACCCTGATCTCCTCTGCGGGCTCCTCGCTGCACTTCCCCCCGTAAGTGTGACCCTCCCTGTAAGGCCTGCCTTTGTGGGGTGCCTTTGTTGTGTGTCAGAGGTTGTGCCCAGTAAGGCTGCCAGATAAAATGTCATGTGTCCCATGCGATGTATGAAAAAAGCATTCGTTGTTCATTGAAAATTCACATCTAACTAAGTGTGTCCTGTATTTTTATCTGCAACCTGGTGCTAAGCACATTTAGAAGTTTGTTGAAGTACCCCTCAAATTTGTGGGGAGATATTACTCTCCCCGTTTTAGATAAAAGAACACTTAAAAATGTTAAGTGATTTGCTCAAAGTCCCACTGTTGGGAAATGGTAGAGCCACTCACATGGTCAGTTTTTGGCGGCGAAATGCTCTTTCCGTACCCCCTGCCTGCCTCCCTGAGTCCTGGCCCTGACCAGTGATGACGTGGGATAGATGCATTTTCTGTCTCAGCAGCAGCTCATGATGAGCTACTGTTCAACCTTCTTTGTCTTTAGGTCTGAGCCAGAATTATATGGCCCTGGGGCAAAGTGCTGGACTGATTTAGATAGAATCTGTGCCTGGTTCAAACCTTCCTGCAATAGGGTTTTGGAAATTGTCCTTAGGTGCTAAAAATGAAAATAGAAAGTTTAATATAGATAAAAACAAGATGTGATTTCAGTTGTCATTATGAATCTCAAAGCCTGAGAATTAGAAATTTTCTTTTTCCTTCTAGTGCCAAAAGGACCCGCATTTGGTTGATAAGATAGTGCCAATAAGGACAATGAAGTGGATTTTAATGAGTTTGTGGTCACGGTGGCCGCCCTGACAGTTGCTGGTAATGATTAATTTGTAGAACAACTGGCGAAGAAAGGAAATTAAAGATAAGTAGCAAGGTAATCTAAAGGCACAAATATACCTAAAGTTAATGACTTGTTATTCATTTATACCCTCCAGATCTGTAGCAACTGTGATACTGTTTATAGATGCACATATAATTAATTGCTATAGTACTAGTAAATGATGTACGCCTTAACATAATGATTTTAAATAAATATTCCAAATCTCATATGCCCTACTTGATGTTTTCCTACCTTATTAAAGATGTTTTCTATCTTATAAAGATGTTTTTGTTTGTCATAGAGCATCAGAAAAATTTAGCTACTTTCAAATGAGACTAGAAATTAACAAACTTCTAAGACTCATCCTTAAATTACATTTTGAACTTATTTCCTATGGAAGAAATTAAGTGGCTGTCTCTCCTCTGATTCTGCTTCACATGGAAGCAGAGAGGCTGATAAATACAAGAAAATGCTGGCTTTTCCCTGAGCTTGGTCAGGGGAGGGGTAGATGCAGGGCTGTGCTCAGGCCAAAAGGACTGAGCCAGGGGCCCTTGGGGCTGTCGTGTAAATACCTTTCCTTGCCCATTTGGGCATGCAATTTTGAGGCAAGTGTTTTAAACCATTTCCCAGTGCCTCCCTTGGGGGGAGCTTCTGTTGCTGCTGGGGAGCTGGCTGGGCATCACACTCCCCCCGGACTACCTTCCTGTCCTTGTCTCACTGCATACTCCTCACCCACGTGTTATGCCCCTCTCAAATCCTCATCCGGGAGTCTTCCTCAGAGGCCACACAAACTGTGACAGATCCTCTGTAGAATTTATAAAGGGAATGGTATGACTTATATTGATACTTTAAAACAGTTACCTTGGCTACTGTATGAAGAAAGGAGTGTAGAGAGGGCTGTTGCTGTGACCTGGGTAGCAGCCGAATAAGCCAGGATTTGGAGAAATGTAGAGGAGCAGTTGAGTCTGTTGAGTGTTTGGAGATGGGACCGATGGGATGGGACTGATGGCACTCGCTGGTGGGTGGTTAATGAAGTGCAAGAAAAGAGAAAAGTCCAGGGTACCAGAGTAGTCACCGCTATTGTCTATCTGACATCCATTCTACCTGTCTTCCATATGTCAGAAACCTGATTTATGGGGTAGCAATGTGACCAGCTAAAAAACTGCTATTTCCCAGCCTCTCTGGAAACTGAGGTGGGGCTTGAAACACAGTTCTGGACAATGAGAGATAAGCAGTTTACTGGGAATTTCTGGGGTGTTTGCTATTCCATATAGGCTCTATGCCTTCTGCCTGGTTAATTCCTCCCTTTCTTTCTCCATTGAATGTGGATGTAAGGCTGGAGGAAGAGCTGCTGTCTTGCAACTATCAGGACAGTGAAGAAAAAGATAAAAGGATCCCAGGACTCTGTTATCATCAAGGAGCCACTACACAGCACTGGTCTGCCTGTGTCTGGTCCTCCAATTATGTGAAAAACACAACTGCTCTCTTGTTAAGTTAGATTTTGGTACAAGAAGCTAAACACCATGTCTAAGGTTTAGATATTTGGTCAAGCAAATGATTCAACTTTTTAAAAAATCCACTCTTGAGGATCGTTCATTGATTTTAGAGAAAGAAGATGAAACAGAAAGAGAGAGAAACATCAATCAGTTGCCTCCCACATGCAACCCAACAGGGCATCGAACCTGCAACCCAGGTATGTGCCCTGACCGGAGATTGAACCTGTAACATTTTGGTGTATTGGATGGTGCTCCCAATCAGCTGAGCCACTTGGCTGGGGCAAATGATTCAATTACTAAATGGGAAAGACTAGAGAAATCCAGCTTTGGTGTGGGGACATTGGAGAGAAATCAATAACTCTGTTTGTGATGCCTGGTGGGTTTCCAGGTAGAGATACCACACGGGCAGTTGGATAGAGGATCTAGTCCAGAGCTTAAGGTAAAGAAGGGACTAAAGTTAGAAATTTTAGGGTCATTAGCGTCTCAGTGGTACTAAGCCAAGAGGACTAGAGGACATCACTTAGGATAAGAATGTTTATAGAAAAGAAAGTCCAACAGTTAGCTTTCAGAGAAAGAGGAGCCAGCAGGTGATACGGCAGAGGCATGGTCAAGGAGATAAAAAGAACACCAGGAGAGAATGGCACTTCAGAAGCATAGAGAAGATAGTATTTTTTAAAAATATTTTATTTATTTATCTTAGAGGGGAAGGGAAGGAGAGAGGGAGAGAAACATCAATGTATGGTTGCCTTTCGTGTGTCCCCTGCTGGGAACTGGCCTGCAGGGAACTGGTCTGCAACCCAGGCATGTGCCATGACTGGGAATCGAACCACAATTGTCTGGTTCGTCTGGTTCGCAGGCCTGCGCTTAATCCACTGAGCTACACCAGCCATGTCCTAGAGAAGATAGTATCTGAAGAAGGAAACCGGGCGAAATCTACTGAGACGGGGATTAAGTTGAGAACAAATAAATGACCATTAGATTTGCCAAGATCAAGATCATCAGAAATGTCAATGACACCAGTCAGGGTGGCTTTGCTCACAGAGTGCCTGTCTCCCTGTCTGGTTGATAGTAGGTGCTCAATAAATACTGATATTTGTTTAGTAACCAAATGAAAGTACCTACCAATTGTTCATTTTTATTTTTAATAATGTTTCTATTTTCATATGTTTCTGTTTCATTGTGGTTGATGTACAATATTATATTAATTAATATAACTTATCAGGTGATCACCCCAATGATTCTAGTACCCATCTGACACCACACATAGGTATTACACTATATCGACTATATTCCCTATGCTGTACATTACACTCCTGGGACTATTTTGTAACTACAAACTTGTACTTCTTAATCCCCTCATCAAACATCCCCCAACTATTCTCCCATCAAGCAACCATCGAAATATTCTCCGTATCTATGAGACTGTTTCTGTTCTGCTTGCTTGCTTATTTTGTTGTTGTTTTTACATTTCACATATAAGTGAAATCATATGACATTTATCTTTCTCTGCCTGACTTATTTCACTCAGCACAATACCCTCTACATCCATCCATGTTGCCATGCACATGGCAAGATTTCATCCTTTCTTATGGCTGAGTCATATTCCATTGTATAGATGCACCACTTCTTCTTTATCCATTCACCTATTAATGGACACTTAAATTGCTTCATTATCTTGGCTATGGTAAATAATGCTGCAGTGAACATATAAATGCCTATGTCTTTTTTATTTAGTGTGTTGGGTTTCTTCAGATAAATACTCACAAGTGGAATTGCTGGGTCATTTCTTGTTTTGTTTTTTTTTTAAGTCTATTTTTTCTAGTAAAGGTTTTACCACCCCAGCTTTTTTTGTTTCCATTTTCTTTCTTTTTAAAAAATATTTTTTTAAATTTATTTTTCGAGAAGGGAAGGGAGGGAGAAAGAAAGGGAAAGAAACATCAATGTGTGGTTGCCTCTTGCACTCTCCCTACTGGGAAACTGGCCTGCAACTCAGGCATGAGCCCTGAATGGGAATCAAACTTGTGACTCTTTAGTTCACAGACTGGTGCTCAATCCACTGAGCCACACCAGCCAGGGTTCCACTTTCATGAAATATCTTTTTCTGTCCCTTTTAGTCTGCATGTATCTTTTGATCTGAAGTGAGTCTCTTATAGACAGCATATGTAAGGGTCTTGTTTTGCTCTCTGTTCAGCCACTCACCATATGTCCTTTGATTGGAGCATTTAAAATAATTCTTGATAGATATGCATTTATTGCCATTTTATTACTCATATTTTTTATCTTTTTTTTATTCTTAAAGAAGACCCTTTAACGTTTCTTGAAATACTAGTTTGATGGTGATGAACCTCTTTAGCTTTTCCTTGTCTGGGAAGCTCTTTATCTTTTCTTCAATTCTAAATGATAGCTTTGCTGGGTGAAGTAATCTTAGTTATAGATTCTTGCTATTCATCACTTCGATTATTTTGTGTGTATCCCTTCTGACCTGCAAAGTTCCTGTTGAGAAATCTGACAGTCTAATGGGAGCTTCCTTGTAGTTAACTAACTGCTTTTCCCTTGCTGAGATTTCCTGTTTGTCTTTAACCTTTGGCATTTTAACTATGATACATCTTAGTGTGGCCTTCTTTGGCTTAATCTTGTTTGGAACTTTCTGTGCTTCCTTGCCTTGTATTTACTTCTTTCACCAGGTTAGAGAGGTTTTCAGGCATCATTCTTTCACCTAGGGTTTCAATTCTTTGCTCTCTCTCTTTTCCTTCCAGCAGCCCCATGATGTGAATGTTGGAATGCTTGAAGTTGTCCCAGAGGCTTCTTAAACTGTCTTCATGTTTTTGTATTCTCCTTTCTTTTTGCTGTTCTGACTGGGTGTTTTCTGCTTTCTTACCTTCCAAATTGCTGACATGATCCTCTGCTTCATTTACTCTACTGTTGATTCTCTGTAACACATTCTTCACTTCAGTTAGTGTATTCTCTCTTTCTGCCTAGTTCTTTTTCATTTTCTATTTTCATTTTTATGTTTACTCTTTGTTGAAGTTCTCACAAAGTTCATCTAATCTTCTGCTAAGTTAATTGAGCATCCTTATACCAGTGTTTTGAACTCTGCATCTGATAGATTGTCTCCATTTTGTTTAGTTCTTTTTCTGGAGATTTCTTCTGTTCTTTCATTTGGGACATGTTCCTTTGTCTCCTCATTTTGGCTGTCTCTGTTTGTTTCTATGTATTATGTAGAGCTGCTACATCTCTCGGGCTTGGTAGAGTGGTCGTATGTAGTAGGTGTGCTGTAGGGCCTAGTGGTACAGCCTCTCTGGTCACCTGAGCTGGGTGCTTCCAGTGTACCCCCCACCTTCCCCCTGCCTCCATGGGCTATGTGTACTCTTTGGTTGTAATTGAGCCTCGATTACTGTTGGCATTTCAAAACGAGGAATTCACCCCCAGGCCGATTGGCTGCAAGGACTGGCAATGACTACAGGGGAGGATCCCTGGAGGATCTGCAGGGGCCAATCCCACAGAGCTGGATTCCCTTCAGCAGGACTCTGGTGCCCAGTGAGTC